TCTTGCCACCCTTGGCACAGTTTAGAAATAAAATATAAGTAATCTCAGAGCCAATAAGCATTCAGAACACATGCAGTATCCCTATTAGGAGGAGCAGTCCATTTAGGGGTTCACAGATTGATCACTACGTTTTGGGATGATGTAAATATGTCCAGGATTTTCTGTAATTAGGGAAAATAACTCTTTCTCCCACCTTCATCCCCAACACATGACACAAACCATTATTAACAAATAAGACCAGTCCCCAAACTGAGTTTTAGGCGACCATATGATTTACAGTTCTCTAAATATGCAAGAAGTCTTCCATATACATATATATGGGGGGAAAAATATATATATATATATATGACCCAAAATTATGTGCCTACTAGTTTTAAAAAAAAGAAAAGACTATGGGGATGGAACCCATTGAAAGCTCAAAGGATTTACTCTTACAAGGGTGTGTAACCACAATAAATAGCAAAAAATTTCTCAAACTTTGGTTTTAGGAAGCTTTCTAATTTTCCACTTTTTCACAACACAGTCTGAAGTCCATCAAATACTCATTTCAAAAGCTTATAATTCAGTTGGGCTACACATCTCCAAAGGAAAAATGTGTGTTGAATGGAAGCACACATTCACAATTATCTCTGACCTGCCTCTCAAAAAGCGGTCCTTTTTTTTCTGTAGATTTTTATATGGGTCAAAACACCTACACACTGAGTTCAAAGTCATCTAAGAAGAGCCACTCAAGTAGAAAAAAGATCTCATTCCTTTTTTTCTCTCTCCATATTTCTTTCCATAACGAGAAAACAAACAAAAAAAACCTTATAGTGAAAAATGTATCACAGATAGTTTCCCAGGAGTCAAAAAATAGCTTTTTTTAATAAGACCTGCTGGAAAATATAGAGTTGAAAATGCTGACTTACTTATAAAAACCATAGTGAAATGAGTAAATGGCCAGCATTTAAGGTAAGACCAATCTCACCATCAGAGATCTGTCATGGGCTCCATGTACTAAATGCTCAAAGCAGTTAAATGAAAGGAAAGAATGGCACTGCCGGTGATACGGTGGTTGCTAAGTTTCAAAGCATTTCTACTTCAAAGTACTAGAATTTCTAACAGAAAGGCAAGTGGTCCGATCATGATGGAAATCTAAGGGACCACTTTTTTCTCCACCATGCACACGTGTATTTCCAGTTTCCCCACTTCATTCCCATCTAAGGAACTATTTTTAAAGGTAGTAAATTTTAGAGTAGCAAACATTTCTAAAGACAACATAGAACTTCAGCAAGTACAGTCTTCAAGTGAATCAGGGCTCACAACAGCGGTATGAAAAATGTGACGGCAACAAAAGAAAGTTATTGGCTGCTTTTGAGGCACTAAACACTGTTCTGTGCACCTTTCATGCATTATGTTCACAGCCCTACAAAGTAGGTAAAATGTTATAATTATCCACATTTTATAGGAGGATAAAGCTTAGAGAAGTTCAGCAAATTAACCAATGTCAAAGATCAGTAAATATCAGAGCCAAAGTACAAACCCAGTTCTGTGGGACATCATTTCAAACTGTTGAGCAACTTTTGTTCCTCGATCCGCGACCCCACGCTCCCAGGGCAATGTTGCCAAAATTTCTGCATTAGAATCAGAGTAAGAGAAAATGTAGTCTTGAAAAGTCAAGAATTAGGGTAAATAGGAATAATTGGAGAAGGCCTAACTTTGTTCACTTGAATAATTTTGTTTGTAAAAACAGGTCCTTGGGGGGGCGGGCATCTGGACAGAGGAGACTGCAAATGGATGGCCACATCACTGCACAGAAACACTGAGAAAATGTCCCCAAACTTTGAATAAAGTCTGCTATAATCACAGATGCATTTTCTTTTGTTGACCTTTCCATCCATGATGTACAAGAGTATGAGAAATCAAAGAAAGAGTCTCATCTCATTTCTGAGCCCTCCTCATACAGGAGTGGGAAAACATGGATAGTTTTGTGAGACAATCAGAAAATGTTAGCCATTGGTGTGAGAAGAGGTCTTGAACCAAAAGGAACCATAAACATTTTAGCCCCCCAGGAATTCATAGAAATCTCTAGGAAGGCATTTGATTTCCTACATCACTGAGGGGGATTTCAGTTCGTTTTATTCATTCACTGACGCCAAGTATATTCACTGAGCACTTACCACATGCGTGATGCTCCTCACGTGATACATGTCCATCTTAGGCATAAGTGGACAGCGTCCTATGATGGACATGAGGTTACAAATCAGTAACCTAAGCACAGCCCTTGTTGCTTCCCAAGGTCACTATAAGAACGAAATGGCTACATAAGGAGCAAATAAACCACAGGGAACTTGGTTCAATAATCCACTTGATCACGTACACGATTTCCTGCTCTCTTTCTCAAGGCAGAGTGTAAGTCCGGCCAGCAATATTGTTTTAGGTTCCAGTGAGTAAAAATAGTGTGAGTGGAGATCACAAGCGTCTCTTCAAATCACATAAGAAATCAAGCATACTTGTCCATTCCTGCCTATTTTGCCATGAAAACCTTTCTTTAATGAAATAGCAGGTCCAGCAACAAAAATGGATACTGACAAGTCATATAAGATAGGAACAGTTAAAGAAGACAAACAAAATGTAAGAAAAATAACCTTAAACAATCACTTTAATAGCAGCCTTTAAAACTTTTTTCAACTATAGGAAGACAATTCAATTTGGGTTTGTTATATAAATTTGTAATTTAATTTAAAAATGTATAGAAACATAGAGACCTTCTGAAGCAATTCATTGATACAAGTGAGAATTTTACTATCCCTGTGTTAGAGATAACACAACTATTATTAGAGTAAAACAAAGCTATTTGTTCTATCAGCATTCGGTAAAAGACCAAAAGTCACAGCTCACAGGAGAATCTAAATAACCTCTAAAATCTCAATGAATCTGGATGGCATCCTAGCCTAAGTTTAACACACACACACACACACACACACACACACACAGAGTCCCTCCACTGTTTATTTTGCAGAATGCCACAATTTGGCCACACTAGAGTATCATCCCCTTGAAGTCTGGGACCTGTGACTGATTTATTCTTTGCCTTATTGTGGTGTCTGGTGCATCGTAGGTGCTCCATAAATATCTGCACAGTAGATAAATGGAAGTGACACGATATTGATCACTGCTCACCTTCCTCATTTATCTCACCGATACAGCTGTCTCCAAAATACTAGTGACGAGCCTTGCCTGTACTGAAAGTAGCACTGAATAAATGTATGGTATTTTCAAAGGTGGAGCAGCTGCATCTCTGGATAAGGAAACAGCGGACCCTTCAAACGAGAAACCATTCTAAAATAAAGAACGTAGAGGGCTAGTAAAAAGGAAGACTTCATCTTTTACACCGTGCGTTCCTATTTCTAAACACATTTATAACATCATAGAATATGCCTAATATTAATTCCATAAGTATGGAAGCCAATGGTTATGAAATGCAATTTAATTTTAGCCAAACTGAACATGACCATATGGAACTGCCATCCTTATAGGTCAAAGGCCATGGCATGTCAGCAGTTTCATATGCTTCAAGCCGATCAAAATTAAGGTGTGGCTGGTAGAGACTGGAAAGTGGGGGAAGGGATGACAGCTCGTGAAAGGGTGAGAGAACTAACAACTGTATTTTATAAAATGCGCAGTTAAGAAATATTCTCTATGGCCGACAGAACCATAGATGCAGGTTTAAGTATGGTTTTCTTGAGGTTACAATGATAACTGACCAGGAAAGAAACCAAAATTAACCATATACATGGTTAATTTTAATGTGCACACACACACATTTATGTTCAGTAATAAATAATATATATTCAGTTGAATATATATATTATGTATATTTATATTATATATATATATACACTCGGTTGAATATATATTTATATTATGTGTATATTAAATATACACAATATACACAAATGTTATACACAATAAATATACAAAAATATTACACACCATATAAATATATATGTATTTACGAAAGGGAGCTAGAGGAAGGCATAAATGAAGGTACGGGATGAACTAAACCCTTATCCATCACAGCTGGTATCAACAGACAATGTCTGAATAAAATCACTGCCATATTGGTACACTGTTAGGAATCTGGAAATAACTGCCTCAAGAACTGAAAACAAATAAATATGGTTGTCTCTGGGGTGCAAAACTAGATGAACACACGATGGGGCCAGAGATGACAGATTTTTATCATGAGCCCTTTAGTTTCATCTGGTTAACTTTAACCATGGTATGTACGACTTTAATATAAATATATTTTAAGGGAGTAACAAAAATGTCTAACTCATGAGTTTGTTGTGAGTATGTAACGAGATAATGCATAGAAAGGACTGGCAGAGCCTGGCATATAGGAAGCATTAATAAATGGTGGCTATTACTTTTTTTAAAGTCATTTTCAAGGTTGAAAAATTCAGACAATGTAGATGCTAGAATCCTACCAAAAATACACCATGTTTTGTGAAAACAAAGACAAATGTGCGTAATTTTAAGTTGCACTATATACATTACAGTGGCCTTTAAAATGTAAGCTTACTTGTTCCCCAAGAAGAAAAGTTACTATTTTCCACTGCAAGCGTCAATCTTAGGTTACACATAAGAATTTGCCAAAGCATTTTTAACTGAGAAAATCACCTTTTCTTCTTTGTCTTTCAGACCTTTGCCAATAACTCCTTCTTTATGTGTGATTCCCTCAGGAAGACTTTCAGAATTCAGGCGTTATTTTTAGTTTTAGGTAGAGGTAAGATTTTCAAGAAAGCAATTGCATTCAACTATGCTGAACCTGACTATCAAAAAGCAAAAGCAAAAACAGAAACCAAAACAAACAAAAGAGTTTGAGAGTGAAATACACACATTCTGAAGTTCAAATGAGGGACTTAAAAGTAGCCTGTGGAAAATGCAGGGTTAATTCTGCACGGGTTTACCCTCCTCTCCTAAAAGGAAGCGTGAACTAGAGTTGACCCACTTACCACAGTGTGGATGAGAGGCTCCGACCAGAAGGAAAGTACAACCTTTGCAAATCTCTCCTCTGCATTTCCTTAGTCTCTGCATGCAGATCTGGTCCACATTTGATCCCCGCCAGCTCCACGAGCACTGTCCAATATGGCACCGGCCACCTGTGGTACCTTACTGGACAACAGGGATGGAAGGAACATTCTCCATCACAGAAAGTTCTACTGGACACTCACCCCCACCCCCACCCCACCCCACCCCCCGCTTCCCTCCAGGCAGCTGATGAGGCGCATCCCTGTAAGTCAAAGCTTGAATTTTTTTTTTTTAAGTCATTCTAGAAAACAAAGCAGCTCAGGTTGACCTAAGGCAGCCCCACCTTCAGCCCCAGAGCAGTCGGCCACTGTTCTTTTGTGATTATGGTGCAGATCTTTAAATAACAAGAAGAGAAGACTTAAGTGTGCTCAAGGTTAGAAAAAACATTAAAGCCTTGAATTTGGCAAAGGACTCTGACTTGAGCACTACTTTTTATCTCTAGAAACACTCAAAGGAGCCAGCGTGATGAACATCAAAATCAATACAAGAAATCAAGTTAAAGGTTTACCAGTAAAACGAGTCAAGCAGAATGAACCCGAGGGGAGTTGGAGGAGGGAGGTGGATGTGTGACAATCAGCAGCTTTATTTGCTGGAGGGCTCAGAGGCTGCCCAGGGCCAAGTCCTTGTTCTGTGTCAAAACACTCCCCAGCAGGTGGAGAGGGGCTTTGACAGCACAGTGATTAGAGAGCCCAAGGCCTTGGAGCATCTGTGGGGCAGCAGCGCTTATTAGAGACCAGATGAGTTTCCACTAAAAGAATGTCACCACCTTAACTGCAATCGTCATTTTAATCACTTGGGAGCATAACCTTGTATAATATTCAGAACTGTTTTTGAGGAAACTTTAAAAAAAGAAACAACTTAAGAGCAAGCTCTGGATCAGGTCCAGACTTTTTTCTAGTCATGTCAGGCTGGGGAGATTTGACCTGATTCCATAAATCCCTTCCATTTTGTAGAAGGAATTAAACAAGCCTATGAGACTCCTATGAAAAACCAAAGCAAAATTAATAAAGGCAAAATTAATAATAAAATGTGAACCATCGTTTTCCAATCTGACCATCCAAGCTTCTGGTCACTGAAAGAAAGAAATATCTACGTGTAAAATAATTAGAGTTGATTAAAAAGGAGAGATGAAATGTACAGGAAGAACAAATTCTGAAGAAAAGTCAAGATTTGACATTTTTATTTCAGAATTATTCACGCAGTCAAGATATCCATGAAATACATAGATTGAATATATTTTAAAAGAGTTCAAAGTCTAGAAAAGAATAAATTATTTTCTGATACATACGATCTAGAAGTCACCCTGGCTTACCTTTCAGCAAAAGCAGTCCATAACTGATCACAAAGAAGCAAAAAAATATTCCTTTTCCTCAAGGAAAAGGAGTCATAGTATCACAGAAATTTTGATTTAGAAGGGCGCTCACTAAGGACTGGTCCAACACTGGTCCAATTTCCCAGCACAAGGATCCCATCCAGCCTAGGACTTAATATTTCTAGGTGCTCACAACTGTCATATATTAGACAGGTAATGGTACAGGAATGGTCATTTGCTCAGCAACACAGGGCTGGTGGAGCCTAAGAGGACCAACCATGCTGCATGCAGCGAGATGGCTCAAGCAATGCATCCCAAAGCTGTCTGAAAGTGATCAGTACCCAAGTGTCCCATCGGGAAACAGGTAACAGGGAATTCCGGGATAGGTAAATCAGAGCCAGTCCCCCAGTGCAGATTCCTGTTGAAAAATGGCGGGGCACTGATCACGTGGCTGGGAAGAGTAGAATAAACCAGATGGGATTCGAGAAGCAACTTAATTAGCCAGAAGGTGAGGAAAACAAGCATGTGTGAAGGTCGGGAGAGAAAGGTGCTGCCCTCCAGCCGGGAACCCCAGGAATGCTCCTGAAGTTGAGCAAGTTTGGGTGGCACTCACTGCACGGAGGGGGAATGCATGCCCCATGGGATTGAGGGGCACCTCAGTAAGAAGGACTTACTATACTATTGGGGCCTGCATTAGGGAATTTTGAAGTGGGTTCCAGGAACCGGGGCTTTTCTCTGGATCAGATGATGTCAGGACATTGGGTTCATTCTATGACTGGTCTCCAAAGTCTTATCCCTTAGGAGGGAGGACTGGGGCAAGACTAAAGATGTAATTGCTCTAGAAGCAGCATCACTGATATTGACCATTGGGGGGGGGGGGGGGT